CCAAGAGTCCCCAAGATGAAGAGTTCATCTCCATCATCCTCTGCACTGGAATTTGTTCTGTCCTGCATCCAGGTCTGGGGTGGCACTGGGCTGTGGGGTTTGCTGAGCTCGAGGTGACCAGGCTCATCTTTAAACTGAGTCTAGTCCATTGTTGAGCCTGGCTTAGCCGCAGCAGTGCTGGGATGGCCATGCTGTGGCACTGGGCTGGGTTGACCTCAGGACCTTGGGGTTTGCTGAGCTTGAGGTGACCAGGCTCATCTTTAAACTGAATCTAGTTCATTGCTGAGCCTGGCTTAGCCACAGCAGTGCTGGGATGGCTGTGCTGGGGCCCCAGGGCAGTGAGGCTTCTAAACCTCCCCAGGAATTGAGGCTTCCAAACCTCCCTGGGAAAGCACTTCCAGTGCTGCATCCCCACATCCCACCTGCATCCCTGCAGCCACAGCCCAGCCCCTGGTAAGCATTGCTTGTTGGTGACAGTGAGGTGTCCTGGGCTGTAAAAGAGAAAAAAGATAATCATTCTGAAAAATGACCTCGGAATGCTGGAAAGTAAATTTAAGTCAAATGATCCAACACAATGTTTGTTTTTAATGTCAGTATTAGTGAAAAGTTAATTTAGGTCTATGTGTGCGTGCGTGTCTGTCTGCTGTGGGCAGTGCTCTCACTCAGTGCATGATCCCAAAGCTGCTCATGAACTTTTGGTGTTGGTGTTTATATCAATTTATCATTTGGGAGCAAAAAGAATTTTGTTTTTTTTTTTGAATCTGCATTTTATCCAGTGAGAGCTGTACACAGAACCCAAAGAACAATTGTCTTACCTAGAGATGGAAAAGGAGCTGCTGTGTGTGTTTGCTGTGCTTTGCTGTGCATCCATAGGACACACATTCCACTTGAGTGCTGCTGAGGAGGAGCAGCAGAGAGGACTCAGCCAGAGGGGTCTGCACTCCCCATCCTGCCCTGGCTGCCATCAAAGCTGGGCACTGGTTCCATTTCTCATCTGCAAAGGAAGGTGAGGAGGATTCCAGAGATTCCTCCCAGCCAAACTGCTGCCTGCCATCGGAGCCCAGGAGCCCAGGGAGCAGCAGAGCCTGGCAGCCTGGTCAGATCCTGGCACCCACCACCCACCAGATGCTCCTGGACTGTGACAAACCACCGTGGGCAAGCCCAGCAGTGCCCCATGGGCAGCACCAGCCTCCTCCTGCCCCACATGGGGCACGGGCTCTGCTCCCCTTTGGGCTGCTGCCAGTGGGTGAAGTCAGGAGATCCACAAAAATCCTCTCCCAAAAAGGACATTTTGGTGGCAAGGCGTGCACTCAGCTCAAAGCAAACCTGTGCCAGCACTGGAGGATTCTGGCAGCTTCCTGCAAGGCACCTGCTGCCCTCACCTCCCTTCTGCTCGCTCGTGTCCAGCTCCTGCTGCCTCTGTTGTATCCCAGACCTGTGATTGTGGGCATGTTGTATATAAATAAAAAAATAAAAGCCTTGGAGCTCAAGGAGCCGAGCCCCAGCTGGATTTGTTCCTTCCTTTCCCTTCCCAAGGCTGCAGGGCTGGGAGCAGCCGCCCTGTGCTCACTGTAGGGGCTGGAGCATACACAGGTGGAGCTTGGGTGAATGGCAGGTGGAGGGCACAGGTATTGGCACCTTCCTCCCATCCCTGCACCCCTGGGCATGCTGCACCCCTGGGCCAACACCGGCAGTTCATCCAGGCTCTTTTTTAGAGGTTTTTTAAACCCCGGTGTGTGCTGCTTCTCCCCTTTATGCCGTGGGGCAGCCGGGGTGCGGTTTGAGTGTAGGATTCACCCCCTGCTCAGTTTTTACAGGCTTTTTTAAAACCCTGGTGTGTGCTGCTCCTCCCCTCTGTGCCGTGGGGCAGCTGGGGTGCTGTCTGAGTGCAGGATTCCCCACTTGCTCAAATTTTAGAGGTTTTTTTAAACCCTGGTGTATGCTGCTCCTCCTCTCTTGTGGGGCAGCTGGGGTGCTGTCTGAGTGCAGGATTCCCCAGCTGCTCAATTTTTAGAGTTTTTTTATAAACCCCGGTGTGTGCTGCTCCTCCCCTGTGTTCCATGGGGCAGCCGGGGTGCGGTCTGAGTGCAGGATTCACCTTCTGGAACCGGGGGGACCGGATTCCCGGGTTCCCGGGTTCCTGGCCCCCTGCCCTGCGGCCCTGCTGGTGGGGAGGGCTGGGGCAGCTCCGGGTGATGGGGGTGGCAGATAACGACACCTGAGTGTTGACCCAAAGGTGACTTTGCCTCGGGCTTCACAGAGATTAACCAGAGATGAAAAACCGAGGCTGTGGCAGCCCTTTGAACCCTCTGTCACCTTTCCCCCCACCCCTTCCTGCTTCTTTCCAGCCTCTGTGGGAATCCAGGGATGCAGCTCAGGGATCCATGTGCAGACACAGCAAGGCATGGAGGGCAGAGTGGCCACATTTTTCTGTCCTGGTCCGTTTGTCCAAGCCCTCGGGGGTTCCACAGGATGGGGGTGCTCCTCTCAGAGCCCTTTTCTCACCTCATCCACTTTCCATGGAGCCCATGCTCCCTCAGGTTTGGGGGAACGTGAGCCCTCCCAGCCCCGCAGCAAGATGGAGAGATTCTCTGTTTGTCTTGGTCAAATGCTTTACACAAATAATTATTTCCAAGGTAAATATTGTGAAAATCCAGATTATTTGCTCAAGAAATGAAAGAATAACTGCGGGAGCACATCAAAGAGGTGGATCTGCTCTGGCAACAAGAGGCTTCCTCCCTGGTTATTGGGAGCCTGATGCTCCTGCCCCAGGACCTGGCTGGAGATGGCCAGAACTGATTTGCAAAATCAACTTCAGACAGAGCTTTTCCACCCCCAGCTCCCGTGTGCCCCAAATGAGATTTGGGAATTAATTAAAAACCCGACCAATTGCAGGGAGGGGGAAAAAACAAGAAAGACACAAAACGTTGCAGGGTTGAGC